CGTTAATTTTAAGTAATCCCTTTTAAATATTCATATGTCATTTATTAAATTTACATATGAAAATCCAAGTTTTCCCTCTCAATTCAGACGAAACATTTCAATATTCTGTTAATAAATTTGATGTTAGCAACCACTCGGGTAATAATTAATATTTATTTACAAATCACTCTCAATTAGTTTAAACTGCATTTGTATCTTTGCATCTGTAATCTCTTATACTTAGTTCTTATTATAAAATATATAAAACAAAATTTTCCATCTTAGTCAATTTCACATGTAAAGCTCCAGGATATTAAATAATTCATAATGGGTTGAGTTAAGCTGTTGCCTACACCATTAGCAGCTGGCACAAGCTCTAGTTGGCAGTCCCAGCTACTCCACTTCTGATTCAGCCCCTTGCTAATGTGCCTGGGAAAGCACCAGAAATGGCCCTACACCCATGTGGGAGAACCAGATGGAGCTCCAGCACTCCTGGCTTCAGCTTGGCACAGCCCCAGCTATGGAGCCATATTCAACACATCAGCAAATTCAGCTATTTCTACCAAAAAAACATATCTCAAACCCATCTCTCCCAAGTCGTCATCCTAGTCCTGCAAAAACATTCCAAGCAATCTCACCTTCGATTCCTTCAGGCCTCATTTACTCCCCACACAAGGTCCAGAGCAATGTTTTAATACCATAAATCAGGACATGTCACTTTCTGTGTAAGACTGATCCATGGTTTCCCAAGGTACTTTGAAGAAAACCTAAATTCTTACCACTCAGAATTCTTGTAACCGTCAGACATTCCTGGCCCGCTGCCCAAGGGCTGAGATCTTTACAGGCACCCATTTTTTTTTTTTTAATGTGGAAGATGGAAAGAAAAAGAATTGCTTCCCAAAAGATACAAAGCCAAATTTATAAAAATGTTTGTAACTCTATTATGTTTGTCAATGAATACTAAACTTCAACTCAACCTTTTCGTAACTGTGTGCATTTTAAATCTGGATATGTGGAGTTGTTCTCCCAAACGGAGGAGGATCTTTCCCAGTGTTTGTTTTGCCCTCAGCCTGTCTCCAGACCAGCTCCCTCTCATTTTCCAAATTAAACGACACCTCTTACCCAGCCCAGGTAAAAGCAGCGCCCCTACGCACACACACCTGCTATTCTCGGTTGCCTTATTTCCTCTCCTACACTGCTCTCAGCATCTGTGTGTGATGCTTTGTTTATTCTGTTCTTCCCCAATTGACCAATAAACGCCATGAAGGCACAAAACTTCTGTGCTTGTTCCCCGTCGTATCCTTGAGGTCTCCCGTGTTACTGAGTGAATGAATTCATGAACGATAGGAGCAGATGGCGGAGCCAGAAAAGATCTGGCTTGAACGCTGGCTTGGCGGGTTGCAGGCCCTCAACCTCCTTGGGTTCCAGGCAAACAGGTTTGGAATGTCTCCCCCCCCCTATAAAATTGTGATGAAAGCTTGAGTAATTTACACTATGGGGTGGGACTCAAAAAAAAAAAAAAAAAACTGGGCCAAGACCAGGCGAAAGGCAAACAACTGACACCTGTGGGACTCGCTGGCGTGGACCCGGGTCGGCACAGTCCCCTGCCTGGACCGCCATGGCTCCGGGTCATTTTCCTGCCTTCAGCTTGGAGCCACAGGGTGGCTGTGGCCCCCGGGCTCCCGCGGGCGCAGTGGACGCCGCCATGGACGCCGCCCTCCGGCCACCCCGCGGGGGCGGGGCCTGCTGCCGCTGAGGCTCCTGGGAGGATTCTAAATGTTCTGGAGCCCCGGGTGGGGCGCCTGCCTGGAACGCGCTCCGGAGTCGGCCGGAGGCGGGAAAAGCTTGAGGAGAAATTTTTCTTCCTAAATATTTGAGGCTAGTGGGGCAAAACGACTAAGTCCTATTCTCCTGAGGTTGTGTAACCGGAAAACAATCAAAATCTGTGGTAAAAAAGTGGTTTATTTTCCCCGTTCACTTCCGGTACTTTATTGTGGAGAGAATTTCGGCGTTTCCTGGACTGAAAATGCATCACCGTTGGATGGGGTTTTCCTATTGGCCATTTTCCTCAGGGTCTCCGTCGTTTACCATTTTGAAGAGGTTTTAGCCTCATTCGATCAGATGAGGTGGATCTCCTCAAAGGATTGTGTTTTTAAACCAAACAAATCCCCGTGGTGGTCCTTTGAGGGTTTTGGTGTTTCCTCAAAAGCTTTGACAGTCAAATAGGAGTGGGGCGGACCCGTGGCTTTATTTGGGACTGTAATTCTCACTCTCCGGGGGTTGGGAGGGTGAAAGGAAACCACACATAATCTGGGGTTACATCTTTAGGATTTTCAGAAAAAACAGATTCTCCCAGAATGTCTGAGAAAAATAGGGTTGATGGAGGAGACTCGGCTTTTTAAATAATTTAGGCTCTCTCTCTCTCTTTTTTTTTTAAAGAACTCTTCTGGGAGATTTCAAAATCGGGGTACCTCGTGGTTGGCAGGAGGCCCATGAGCCCCTGTCTCCTAGTTCTCCTGACTGGGAAACAGGACAAATCCAAACCAGTCTGGCGTTTGGTAATAATGGAAACACTAGTTTGTCCATTGCGATAGCGGCAAACGTCACTGCTTGAGTAAGCTAGGATGGTTTTTTCCAGTTTTTAGAGTACACATATCTTGCACAAGTGTATTTGTTGGCATGAAAAAGGAATCCACTGAAAAAAATGCAGATTTCAAAATAGTATCACTAAGGATCCCTCGGTTAAGAAATGTGTGTGTGTGTAAAATTCTGGACTGATAAAAGCGAAAGTGTTTATAAAAGAATTTAATTTTTTTGACAATTTTATTTAGTTGTGTTTTGCCATGTTGTTTGTGTAATAATTATCTTAAGAGATCTACTGATTTAAATGTTCCCTGAATACCAAAGTTAAGCATTATAGTCTTGTTTGAAAAGAAATTCTGCTTTTCACCCACCAGGCTTCCAAGTTCTTTGTCCTGTTTTCAAATGTATATCTCATTTTAAATGGATGTAAGTTGATATGTAACCACTTAAGACGGATAAGTAACAATGTGGTTTTAGTAATTTTGTTTGTCCAGGGGAAAATGAAGTTGGGTCAGATTGTTTTCTAATGAAATGTGTTAATTGTTACTTTGGAGACAAATAGAATTGTAATTATGCATCTATGTAGCTATTATACCATAAATACATTGTTTACTGAACTGGAGCGATAAAATGGCTCTGACGCATAGTACGCTAAATATTTTTAAAGAATTTTTTTACTGTTAAGTAATCAGTTGTTTTTAATAAGTCACATTTGTTAAGCTCTCTTTAGGAAATGTTCTTTGAAGTCGGGTTTTATTCTTCCTACAATATACCAGTGATTATTAGTAACAAAAGATTGAAATGAAAGAAAAATTATTATGTACCTATTTACTCTAGTAGAAATTTATTTCACTGCTTATTTTCATATATAACAAATTGGAAATAGTAATGCACCAACTTAATCTGAGGTAACTTTAAGTAACTCTAACCTATATTTTCTCTCTTTAAAAAATTATTTATTTATTTATTTATTTGACAAACAGAGTTAGAGAGAGAGGAAGAAAGAACTCTTTCTACTGGTTCACTCCTCAAATGGCTACAACAGCCGGGCCTGGGGCAGAGCATGGCCAAAGCCAGAGCCAAGAGCATCATCTCTGTCCCAAGCCCTTGGGCCATCCTCCACTGCCTTTTCAGAAACAGTAGTGGAGAGCTGGATCAGAAGTGGAGCAGCCAGGACAGGAACCTGCACTCACATGAGATTCTGGCATAGCAAGGGACATGTTAAAATGCTATGCCACAATGTTGAGTTCCTCTCTTTATCTTTAATGTTTCTAAAAACAGCAACAAAAAGACAATATTCAGTTTTAAAGAAATAGAAAAATATCATCAAAATTTGTTTACATAAATGCTTTTAAAAAAATATAAAGGTTATAAAAGCAAATTGCTGACTAATAGCTATTGAATCTTTTTAATTTTGTATTGACTTTTTTGTGTTGGTCTTTTGCTTTTTCCCTTTGAGTTTTTCTGTATTTAGTTTAGATCTCATCCAAATACAGCTCTTTCTTTCTCTCTCTCTCTCTTTTTTTTTAAGATTTACTTATTTTTATTGGAAAGTCAGATTTACCAAGAGAAGGAAATACAGAGAGAGAGAGAGAAATCAGTCTGCTAGTTTACTCCCCAAGTGACTGCAATGGCCAGAGCTGAGCTGATCTGAAGCCAGGTACCAGGAGCCTCTTCTGGGTCTCCCACGCAGTTGCAGGATCCCAGAACTTTGGGCAGTCCTCTACTGCTTTCCTTGGCCCCGAGCACAGAACTGGAAGGGAAGTGGAACAGCCAGGGCATGAACCAGTACCCATATGGGATCCCAGCATATGAAAGATGAGTCACTGAGCCATTGTGCTAGGCCCAAACACAGCTCTTTTTTGCTATTAAAACTCACTCTCTAGAATAGTTGGTCAAGAGGGAAAAGATTTAAAATTTTTCTTTTTAAATGAAGATTTATTTATGCATTTGAAAGAGTTGAAGAGAAAGAGAGAAAAAAAACTTGCACCTGCTGGTTTACTCCCCAGATAGCTGCGCTGGCCAGAATCCTAGAGATTCATAGAGGTCTTCCTTGTGAGTGGCAGGGACCCATCTTCCGCTGTTTTTCCTAGGCCTTTAGCAGGGAGCTGTATTGGAAAAGAAGCAGCTGGAACATGAACCAGTACCCATATGGGGTGCCAACATGGTAGGCAGCAGCTTTACCTATGCACCACAATGTGAGGATCTTAAATTTTTTCAAATGGTGGCATTCTAAATGTTCACTGGAGCCCCATTAATTGTACATCATAATAGAATGTTTATAAATGTGGGAAGAAGACAGTTATTACCTATCAAATTACTGAGCTTTTCATTAGAAAAAAAAAAAAGACAACTCTTCATTGCTCTAATTTCCTTTCTTCTTTGTCTCTTGTATCTTGTTTTTATAACCAGGATCAATTCATGAAATAAGAAAAAGGATGGCATCTAAAATAAACACTGATTTCACTTTGATTCCCAACCAGAAATATAGACGTCGCAATCGTCGTTCCAGCTACTTACCCAACAATCTAGTCTCAGATTCTCAGCCCTCATCTACGCTTGGAAGTTTCAATACCTTGCCACTGGAAGTATTTCAAATAATTTTAAAATACTTGTCAGGTGAGCTTTGGAGACTATGAATAGGCTACATGAGATAATAGAATTATTTAACCTTTCCTGATAATTGTTTACTATCTTAGGCACTGCTAAAATGTTAATAATGATACTTGTTTTTTAAGGTTTTTATCATTGTTAGATAAGGCATACAGCGAGAAAACATAATATTCACACTGTTGAAAAGTGTGCCTCTAAATATGATGACATATTAACCTGATTGTTACATCCTAACAGGTTTCTATTTATCAAGAATTGGATGTGAAACAATATTTAGATTTTTATCCACCAGGCTTATCACTTTTTTAATATTACTTTTTGAAGATTTATTTATTTAAAAGAGTTACAGAAATGGTGGGGCTAGTGGGAAGGACGAAGGGAGTAGATAGAGGGAAAAAGCTTTCGTCTGCTAGCTCATTTCCCAAATGGCTGCAACAGCCAGGACTGGGCCAGGCCAGAGCCAGGAACTCCATCCTGGTCACTTAACCCATTGTGCCACAATGCTGTCCCCCTCTCCAGGATTATTATTTTTGGCAAATTAATATAATAAACTGGAGGCCTGCGTTGTGGTGTAGCAGGTGAAGCCACTTCTGATCTAGCTCCCTTTCGGTGGCATGGGAAAGGCCACAAAGTGGTTTGCACCCCTACTACCCATTTAGGAGACCTGGAAGAAGCTCCTGGCTTCTGGCCAAGGCCTGGCCATTGTAGCCATTTCTGGAAGGACCTAGCAGACACGAGGTTTCTCTCTCAGTTTGTCCCTCCCTCTCTGTAACTCTGCCTTCCAAGTAAATAAATAAATCTTTTCTAAATAAAGATTTTAAAAAGATAGTAAATGGTACTAACAGTGACATTCTTATATTTCAACTGTACATATGTGTGTGTGTGTGTGTGTTTCTTTTGGTAGTGAAGGATATCAGCATGTTGAGTATGGTGTCCAAAACTGTCAGCCAGAGCATTATTAATTACATCTCAACTTCATCAGGAAGCAAAAGGCTGTTGCTCCAGAACTTCCATACCCTTGAGCTGCGTGACGAGACGGAGAACTGTGCTATCCTGGAGCACTACCGATCTCTAGGTACATGACAAAGAGAATTGTGATAAGAAACATGCTTGGTAGAGAGGACAGATTTACTCAGTCCTAGAATGCTAGCAGAAAATGAAATGTTTTTTTCTGAAATGTGCCCATTTCTTTTTTGTTGGTGTTTTAAAGATTTATTTTTATTGGAAAGTCAGATATACAGAGAGGAGGAGAGACAGAGAGGAAGCCACTTTTTTAAAGATTTATTCATTTTTATTGGAAAGGCAGATTTTTATAAAGAGAAGGTATAAAGAGAATCTACTGGTTCACTCCCCAAGTGGCCGCAGTAGCTGGAGCTAAGCTGATCTAAAGCCAGGAGCCAGGATCTTCTTTCTGGTCTCTCACACAGGTGCAGCGTCCCAAGGCTTTAGGCCGTGCTCAACTGCTTTCCCAGGCCACAAGCAGGGAGCTGGATGGGAAGTAAAGCAGCTGAGATATGAACCAGAGCCCATATGGATTCCAGCACTTGTAAAGCAAGGACTCTAGCCACTAGGCCATTGCGCCAGGCCCTAAAATGTGCCCTTTTCTATGATGGTTTTATTCTTCTATGTGAAGACCTTCCCTTAGCAATGGCTGCCCCTTGCACTTGTCTTTATAAAAGAACCTGCGCTTCAATGTCAAGTGATCACAGTCCTTGCGCTTGTGTGTTATGCTTATGTGATCTAGGTGGTTCCAATTTAGGAACTGATATGTTTTCTGTGCTTTAATTCCTGTTGAATTTGATGAGTTTTATCTCCATAACTGTTTTCCCTTTCAACCATATTCTAGTCCTTTAAAAAGAAATGTAAACACATTATTATGGAGGATCATTTGCTCTTCGATCAGAAACTTTGAATTCTTTTTTTAAGCACTCTGCACTTGTTAATAAATCATTATGCTCTAATTAAGTTGGCTTGATCAAAGGAAATTCTGTGTAATGTTTCTTCCCTTGATGTGTAATCATTCATATCTTTCACCCCATTCATTAGTTTCACTCTCCCTAGAGTGCTGAAATAAAATTCTAATTTCTACTTGACTAATGACACCAACTTAATTATGAAATCACTTTATAATTAACCAAAGCATGGCAATAAAACCAAGAATCACAATGATGTTGGGATTTAAATAAAGGTACAATAGTAAGTTAAATATTACCTTTTGGTAGCCCAAAGGTGCTTAGATTTAAGATAAATAGGACTATATGTATATGTAAATACAGCAAAGCATATTTGGCAAGTATAGTTAGTAAGAGGCATGTGTTTCATTTTAATGTTAATAGTTTCAATGTTGATAACTACACTTACTAAACCCTAAAATAAAACACAGCTATTGTTTTTCCTACTTCTCATTGTAAATCTTTGTGCAAACATTGCTTGTTGCAGGGGAAGTGGTACTTGGGTAATTTAAGGGTAATATAAGGTTCTCATGGGAAAACCTTTATTGTTATTTTAAGATGCATTCATTTATTTTAAAAGTACAATAACAGAATGAAGGAGAGACAGAGATCTTCAATCTCCTTGTTCACTCCTCAGATGGTGGGGTTTACGCTCAATGCTATGAGACTGGAATTCCATCAGGGTCTCCCTCTCAGCAAGTGCAAGCTTGGGTCCTCCTCTGCTGCTTTCCCAGGTGAATTGGCAAGAAGCAAGATCAGAAGCAAAGGAACCAGGACTCAACCAACACTCTGATATGTCATGTTAGGATTACAAATGGTGGTAGCTGGGCCCCGTGCTAGTGGCTGAATCCTCACCTTGCATGTGCCAGGATCCAATATGGGCACTGGTTCTAATCCTGGCTGCTCCAACTTCCCTTCCAGCTCCATGTTTGTGGCCTTAGAAAGCAGTAGAGGGTGGCCCAAGGCCTTGGGACCCCACACTCACGTGGGAGACCTGAAAGAATCTCCTGGCTTCTGGCTTAAGATCAGCATGGCTCCAGCCATTGTGGCCACATGGTAGAGTGAATCATTGGATGGAAGATCTTCCTCTGTGTCTCTCCTCCTCTCTGTATATCTGACTTTCCAATAAAAATAAATAAATCTTAAAAGAAAAAAAAAGGGTTTATGGGGCCCCGCACAGTAGCCTAGTGGTTAAAGTCCTCACCTTGTATGCGCCGGGATCCCATATAGGCACCAGTTCAGGTCTTGGCTGCTCTGCTTCCCATTCAGCTCCCTGATTGTGGCCTGGGAAAGCAGTTGAAGCCTTGTGACTGCACTACATGGGAGACCTGGAAGAAGCTCCTGGCTCCTGGTTTCAGATCAGCTCAGCTCTGGCCATTGGCGCCACCTGGGAAATGAGCCAGCAGACAGAACATCTTTCTCTGTCTCTTCTTCTCTCTGTAAATCTTTCCAATAAAAATAAATAAATCTTAAAAACTGGTTTTATGCATATATCTATTCCAATATCCACTTAATTTTGATGCAAACATCTAGTTTATGTCTTATTTTTCAAGTAAATGATGGTAAGTACATTTTCTTTTTGGGGGGTTTGTAAGTACATTTTATTATGTTGCCATTCCTATCTGATCTTTTATTGTTTTTCAGACGTTAAAATAACATTTTCAAAGCTCCGTACTTTAGAGATTGTAAATTTCAATTTGCTTCTTCATACAAAACAGAGCAGATGGCCAGTGTAGAAAGAACATTACATCTGACTATTTTAGTTGGAAGAACTTGAAGAAGTCAGTCCCTAAAGAATATAACAGAACACCTGTGTGGGGGTAAAAATGAGCCAGTATTGAGTTTTATGGTAAATTACAATTCTTAAAAGTAGGAGTTTTACATTGGAGAAGGCAAGCAACACACAATTATAACTTACCACAGCCCAACTATGATATACCAGGGACTAGATGCCAAAATATGAAGGGGAAAAAAAAAAGCTCAGCTTAAAAACCAGACACTGAAATGTCTTTTTATATAAAAATAAGGAAGGTTTATGATTAAAACTCAATTCTGGTCATGTGTTCAAGCATAGCAACTTCTAAGAATAAATTATGTTCCCATAGGTTCTTCATAATTATATAAAGTAGTTATTATGTAAAAAAGTAAATGCAAAGAAGTTGAAAATTGAAGAAAGTCATGATATGCAGGCATGTATTCCTCTACTATGTATCTTATTTTTAGTTTGAGGACATCTGTCCTGATAGGAATGTTAAGTGTATTGCCATTTTAGGAAAACAGAACTCTTAGCAAAAATAAATCATATACTGCCTGTCACTGTGGTTCAAGCTACATACCTCACTGACAACTGAGGGCCTTTTTTACTTTTTAAAGTCTGAACACACAATCCTTTATACATTCTTTACATGTAAGTCCCATAAAAGGATATCTGTCAAGGAAGAAATAAGTATTTCATCCAAACTACATACTTCCTGTGAGCATAAATGACCCCTGCCCTCTGAAATTTTTAGTAATTAAGACTAATTGCTTTGTATTTGGAGAAAGGGAACCTCTTTTCCCATTCTCCCCTTGCCTTTCATTAACAACTCAGAAGATATTTTCCTTGTGCCTATGTGGTTAATTTCAAGAGATATTGAAATCTATTCTCTAGGAAATAAGAGTTTCCTTAACGTATCTGATGCCTTTGTGTCTTATCATTGTATCTTTAAATAATTTTATGTAGCAACAATTTCACAGTTTTTTAGACAGTGTTATCCCGAGGCCTCCTAAACAGAAATCAGAGTCATACAGAAAGCATCCTGTAATTCTATTTTTTTTTTTTTTTGAAAGTAAGAGTTACAGAAAGAGAGATCTTCCATGTGCTGGTTGTCTCTTCAAATTGCCACAAAGGCCAGAGCTAGGCTGATCTGAAGGTCTCCCATGTGGGAGCAGGGACTCAAGCACTGGGCCGTCTTCCACTGCTTTCCCAGGCACATTAGCAGGAGCTGGATCAGAAGTGGAACAGCCAAAATTCAACTCTGAACCCATTAGGAATGCCAGCACCTTGGTGCCAGACCTCTCCCAAACTTGGTAGTACGAATCATGTGAACTCGGTCCACTTCCTGACCTTCAGGAAGCATTACGTGTGCCCTATTGATATCCTTAAATTAATTTCATTGTCATTTTTCTCTCCCATCCTACCTTTTCAGGTCTTCTGTTTAAAAGATGTACACTGCTGTTGCCCACCAAAGAAAGATTAAAGTACATCCACAAGATACTCATAGAAGTAAGACACTTCTGAATTAGTTCACAATCTTGATTGCCTGTAAAGAAATTTTATTACTAACATCATATAATCATTTTAAGTCTCTTAGTAGAATGTCATAAATTTGTACTAAAAACATTGTTAGTGATAAGCTAATACTTTACCAAGTGCTCAAAGATTAAGATTTTTTTTTTATTGGAAAGGCAGATATACAGAGAGGAGAGACAGAGAAGAAGATCTTCCATCCGATGATTCACTCCCCAAGTGAGCACAAAGGTCGATGCTATGCCGATCCAAAGCCAGGAGACTCTTCCGGGTCTCCCACGCAGATGCAGGGTCCCAAAGCCTTGGGCTTTGGCCTCAACTGCTTTGTCCAGAGTAGTCCCTTTGTCCAGAGTAGTCTCACCGTGCCACCTGCCCATCAGTTGCATAGTGGCTAGGTTGTTGGTGTTATCAGGTCTATCATCGTAGTGTCATGGTGCTAGTGTTCAAGCAACTTATTTTATTTAGCATTGGCCCCAAAGCACAAAAATAAAAATGGTAACAATTTTATTGTTACTATAATTATTCTGTTTACTAATTATTATTGCCTATAACCACTTATATTGCCTAATTTATAAGTTAAAATTTATCACAATAGGGGCCCAGCACGATAGCATACCTATTAAAGTCCTCACCTTGAATGCGCTGGGATCCCATATGGATACCGGTTCTAATCCCGGCAGCTCCACTTCCCATCCAGCTCCTTGCTTGCAGCCTGGGAAAGCAGTGGAGGGAGGACAGCCCAAAACTTTGGAACCCTGCACCCACGTGGGAGACCCAGAAGAAGCTCTTGGCTCCCAGCTTCGGATTGGCTCAGCTTTAGCCATTCAGCCACTTAGGGAGTGAACCATTGGACAGAAGATCTTCCTCTCTGTCTCTCCTCTTCTCTGTGTATCTGCCTTTCCAATAAAAATAAATAAGTCTTTAAAAAAAATTTTTTATCATCATAGGTACATTGTACAGAAAAAAAATAGAGTACAGTATGAAGTATTTTTGCCTTTCATAAGAATCCTGAGGTTTTAAGGTGATGAAGTGGTCATTTTATTAAAATGAAATAATTTTTGGAAAACTCCATCCATGTTTTAAATGTTCAAAAATATAGGAATATATACATATATTTAATTTTTATTTATTTGAAAGAGAGAAATAACTCATTTTGTGGTTCACACCTGAAATGGCCACAACAGCCAGGGTTGGACCAAGCTCAAGCCAGGAGCCAGGAGCCAGGAGCTTCCTCTGGGTGTCCCACATGATTGGTAGGTGTTTGAGCACTTGCGCCATCTTCCACTACTTTTTCAGGCCATTAGCAGGGAACTGGATTCAAAGCAAAACAGCTGGGACACCACAATGCCGGCCCCAGAAATGTATTTTTTTTAAATGTTATTTTGTTTTCTTTTTATTTTTTCTTTTCATTTTTTTTTAACTTTTAATGATTTTTATATAGTTGATTAGGGCTCAAAGGGCCAAGGGCTACAAGAAAGTGGGTAAGATCATTGTTTCCACATACTCTTTTTCCTTCCTGTATCTGGCGGGAGAGGAGAGACAAAGGGAGAAGCCTCCCAACCATCCCAGGGTCCCCGATGTGGGGCATGCTCCCAGGGCACTACTCAGGCAGTTCCAACAGTTCATCTGTTCTGAATTGTTGCCAGTCTCGCCATTCCAAGGTCCCTGGCTTCGGATCGGCATAGCATCGACCGTTGAGCTCACTTGGGGAGTGAATCATCGGACGGAAGATCTTCCTCTCTGTATATCCGCCTTTCCAATGAAAAAATAATAAAAATAAATCTTTAAAAAAAAAATCTGTCTTTGTGACACAGGGCTAATTAGAATTTATGCTGAAAATAGTCTTGCTTATTTCTCTTTAGTTTGAATGTCAAATTGTACAGTTCCACTGAAAATGCACAATTTATAATTCTTCTTTTTACAGATTCCCTGTTTTAAATTCAATGGCTGTGCAGCTCCTATACAATGCTTAGGATTGTCATGTTACGGCATGTTTTTACAGGTACTTTTTCTTAAATTTACTCAAAAGACAAAACTACAGAGAAAGAGAGAGAGAGAGTTAATGAGAAAGAGATAGCTTCTATCTGCTGGTTCATCCCCCCAGATAACTGTATTTGCCAGAGCTAAGTCTGTCCAAAGCCAGGAGATTGAAACTTCTTGGTTTTCCACATACGTAGCAAGGGCACAAGTACTTTTTTTTAAAGATTTATTTTTTATGGGCCTAGCTCAGTAGCCTAGTGGCTAAATTCCTCATCTGGCACGGGCCAGGATCCCATAAGGGCACCAGTTTGTATCCTGGCTGCTCCACTTCCCATCCAGTTCCCTGCTTGGGGCCTGGGAAAGCAGTCGAAGATGACCCAAGGAGTTGACCCTGCACCTGTGTGGAAAAATTGAAAGAAGTTCTTGGCTTCGGATCAGCTTAGCTCCAGGCATTGCGGCCACTTGCGTGACGGGAGATCGTTTCTCTCTTCTCTCCGTCCTTCTCTCTGTAAAAATCTGCCTTTCCAATAAAAATAAAATAAATCTTAAAAAAAAAAAAAGGGGAGCAGCTCGTACTTGAACCGCACCCGTATGAGATGCCAGCAACACAGGCAGCTGCTTTGGCTCTCAGCTATTTTCAAAAGAATTTATGTGTTAATCAACATTTCACAATCTAATTATAACTACATATCATTTGAATCTCCTCTTCATTTATCTTTGTGTATTTTAGTATGTTCAAAGATAATTACTAAATTTTGTCCTAATAAATAGTTTTGAGGCTGTTTTAAATAAATGTTCTTAATTGTCAGGCATACATATCTGGGCCCAACCTGGTGCAGCACGTTAAGCTGCTGCCTATGGCATTCCATAGGAGTGCTGGTTCAAGACCAGGCTGTTTCACTTCTGAGCCAGTCCCTGACAACAAACCTAGGTAATCAGACAAAGTCCAAGTACGTGGGTCCCTACACCCACACGCGTGGCTGGGACCCCTAGCCTTAGCTTGGCCCAACCCAGCGGTTGTGGCCATTTGGGAAATGAATCGGCAGGTTGCTCTCTTTCTAATTGTGCCTTTCAAATAAATAAGAAAGAGAAGAAGAATAAAAAGAATTGTCACATTAGAATGAGATCATTATCATTTCTAAGCTGTGTCATAAATGACAGCTAGAGGGAGTGGTAAGAGTTTTGTTGTCATCTTAAAATGAAGCCACAGTGTGGTTATAAGAAATATGTATTGGAGGATTTGGCTCACTACATTATTTTCCTCATATTGTCAAAATTCAAGATTCAGTCCTCAGAAAGAAAACTTCCTTTCTAACAAAAAAAGAAACTGAAGTTTAGAGTATGTCTAGGTTATAGCTAAGTAAATTTCTTAGTGGCAAAGTGGATAAAGATTGCATATCATCTTGATTATGTTCTAGTGACAGTATGCTCGTAAGAAAGTAGTGACTGCACTTTGATGTAATGGTACAGACATCCACGGTGCTTTCTTTATATTATTTCCTCAGACCTTAACAGCAGGTTGGGATGATCTCGAGTGCCATCGTGTGTTTAACTTCGTGTGTGAGCTGACTAACCTGTCCCGCAAGATGCAGGCTGTTGTTTGCAGCAAACCAGGTAAAGAACTGTAATGCACAAATAATGTTATACAATGGACAGACCGTCTTATAATGCAATGTACAGATTATATTATAATGTCAATGTACTCAAAAATATATCCCTATGTTTTTACCATATAAACTGACAAACCCTTAATGATGATGGACTTGAAAATATGAATAAATCTCCAAATAAGATGGAGTTTTCCTGTGTAAATTGAGGCATATATCCAACTTAACGGCTCATTTCTATGCTTCCTCTCTCTCCTTCCACAGAACCATCATTCAGTGTGATGATCGCTTCTGGGAAGGAAGGGTAAAAGCTTTAGAAGGAATTTACAAGAACCTTTAACATATGTACAAATGTAATGATTTATTTAAGTTTTAAAATCTAATGCAGAGGCTGGCATTTGGCCTAGTAGTTAGGATGCCTACTGGGATACCCATACCCTATGTCACAGATTCTGGGTTCCATTATGACTCTGGATCCTGTTTCAGTTCCTAATACACATCTCAGGAAGCAACAGTGATGGTTCGAATAACTGATTCATGCTACCCATGTAGGAGACCCAAATTCTGCCTGGTCTCAGTCGTGGCTACTGTAGATATTTGGGGAGTAAGTCAGGGGATAGGATCTCTATGTCTTTGTGTCTCATATTCTCTGAGTCTCAATTAAAGAAAAAAAAAAAAAAGATGTAGGACCCGGCATGGTAGCCTAGCAGCTGAAGTCTTCACTTTGAATGCACCAGGATCCCATATGGGCACTGGTTCTAATCCCAGCAGCCCTACTTCCCATCCAGCTCCCTGCTTGTGGCATGGGAAAGCAGTCAAGGACAGCCTAAAGCCTCAGGAACCTGCATCCGCGTTGGAGACCTGGAAGAGGCTTCTGGTTCCTGGCTTTGGATCGGTGCAGCACAGGCCATTAAGGCCAGTTGGAGATTGAATCATCAGACATGATCTTCCTCTCTTTTTGTCCTCCTCTCTGTATATCTGCCTTTCTAATAAAAGATAAATAAATCTTTATTTTAAAAAAGGTAGAAGCACAATGTAATAACAATTTATCATGTTACTCAGTTGATGAAAAACTTGTGTTAGCTCCCCGATAGCTTCAAAATAGAGTCAGAAGGGTTTATACAAGTCTTCATCATCTTATCCCAAGCTCCCTTTCGAACTAATGGCCCATTACTCATTGTACCATTTTAAGATATTGCTCTACTCACTGCGTTTCAGATACCTCGTTCTACCTCATTTTGCTGAGATACCATGTCTCCTTCACATCCTTTAATATGCTCTTTGCCTGGCCTCTGGGAAGCCTTGCCTAATTTCAGAGAGCAAGAATTTCTGAATTCCTGTATTATTTGACCTAACATAGCAAAGGCTAAAGTCTTAGATCATTAGTAGGCATCTTATTTATACTTCTCTTATCTACAAGCAAGTAGGACATAAATGGTATAAAAATGCAAAATGGTTTAGCTGCTATGGAAAATAGTTTGACTGTTCCTCAAAAAGCTAAACATAGAATTGCCATGGGACTCAGCATTTCTACCCCAAGTATGCACTTAATGGCGTAGAGAGGAGGAACATGGGCAGATCCTTTCACTCTGCAGTCCATTGCAGCATTGTTCACAATAACCAAGGTGGAAACAACCCAAGTGTCTATCAACAGATGAACGAACAAAATAATACATACTACAATATTGATGAAGCTTTGTCTTGCTAAGTGAAAGGAGGCAAGAACAAAAGGTCAAATATAGTAGGACTCCACTTACTGGAACAGGCAAACTCATGGAGTCAGAAAGTAGATTAGAGTTTATCAGGAGCAGTGGTGGGTGAAGAATAGGAAGTTATTGTTCAGTTGTTACAGAGTTTGTATTTAGCATGATGGAAAAGTGTTGGAATTAGTGATGATGATTGAACGACAGTGGGAATTGATTCCACTGAATTATATATGTAAAGATAATTAAAGTGGAAAATTTTATGTTCTATATACATATTAAAGATTTATTTATTTTTATCAGAGGGGCACATATCAGAGAGAAGGAGAGATAGAAAGAAAAAATCTTCCATCTTCTGCTTCAGTACGCAAGTGGCCACAACAGCTTCAGCTAAGCCAATCCAAAGCCACAAGTCAGGAGCTTCTTCCAGGTCTCCCACACAGGTGCAGGGTCCCAAGGCCTTGGGCCATCCTCGACTGCTTTCCCAGGCCACAGGCAGGGAGCTGGAAGGGATGTGGAGCAGCCAGGATACAATAAGGGATCCCAGCACATGCAAGGCTAGGACCTTAGCCACTAGGTTACCATTCTGGGCCTTGTTCTGTATATATTTTTACCACAATCACTTTGGGTGAACTGTATGGTACATAAATAATATTTCAAACCAGTGGCTTAAAAAAATAGCCAAATCCCATCTCATATCCAATAGAATAACTAGAATCAAGCAGTTTGGTAACAAATATTAGCAAGAATAAAGACATCAGAACCCGGGATACACTGCTGATGGCAATGATAACATGGTGTAGCCACTTAAGAAGACAGTATGATAATTCCTCAAATGTTTAAACAAAGTCACAAAATGATGTAGCAGTTCATTCCTTGGCATAACTCCAAGAGAAATAAAAACATACTCATAGAGAAACATGTAACAATATTATTAGCAATGTTAGTTGTATTAGCCAAAAGGTAGAAAAAAATCCAGTGTTCATCAGTAATGAATGGATAATCAAACTGTGTTATACCCATACAATCAAATATTATTTATAAATAAAAATAAATTAAAACACTAAAATATGCTACAAATGGAATAAACTTGAACATGTTTTTCTAAGTGAAATAAAACAATCACTAAAGATCACATACTACATGATATCATTCATATAAACACCATGAATTAGGAAAACTATGGAGACACTGAGCAGATCATTTAGTTCTAAAATATTAAAGTACATAGAGGGGCCCAGGGCAATAGCCTAGTGGTTAAAGTGCTCAGCTTGCCTGCACCAGATCCCATATGGGTTCCAGTCCTGGTCCCAGTTGTTTCACTCCCCATCCAGCTCCCTGCCTGTGGCCTGGGAAAGCAGTCAAGGACGGCCCAAAGCCTTGGGACCCTGCACCTGCGTGGGAAACCTGCAAGAAGCTCCTGGCTTCAGATCAGCTCAGCTCCATGTATTGCAGCCACTTGGGGAGTGAACCCATGGACGGGAGATCTTTCTGTCTCTCCTTCCCTCTGTAAATTAGGCTTTTAAATAAAAATAAATAATTTGTATAAATAAATAAATTCACTCTTGTGTAAGATTCTGATAAATATGTCTTTTTCTTTTTTCTTTATTTTTTAAGGAAGGCACTTCTTGCAGGCAGAGTGGGGATACCTCTTTTTTTAAAAAAAAAAATATGTATTTTTATTGGAAAGTCAGATATACAGAGAGGAACAGAGACAGAGAGGAAGATCTTGTATCTGCTGATTCACTCCCCAAGTGGCCCCAATGGCTGTAACGATCTAAGACAGGAGCCAATGCCTCTTCCAGGTCTCCCACGCGGGTGCAGGGTCCCAAGGCTTTGGGCCGTCCTCAATTGCTTTCCCGGGCCACAAGCAGGGAGCTGGATGGGAAGCAGGACTTCTGGGTTTAGAACCAGTGCCCATATGGGATCCTGGCGCATTCAAGGCGAAGACTTCAGCTGCTAGGCTACCACACTGGAGCCTAAATATGACTTTCGATTTATCCATTATTCAATGTTTTGAATATAAATCAAGAAGATAAAGGTAAGTAGATGATTAAACTATGGAGTTTGGTCAGTTAAAGAACAGATAATGTTAGGGGCTAGCTAATTCTCCACCTCTAAGAACCAGTATTCCATGTGGGAGACAGTTTGTGTCCTGGCTGCTCCACCTCCAATCCAGCTCCATGACTGTGATTTGGGAAAGCAGAAGAGGATGACCCGAGTCCCCGGAACCCTGCACTGACGTGGGAGACACGAAAGAAGCTCCTGACTCCTGGCTTTGGCCATTGCAGCCACCTGGGGAGTGAACCAGCGGATGGAAGATCTTGCTCTCTGTCTCTCCTTTTCTCTGTAAACCTGCCTTCCAGTGAAAATAGTTTTTAAAAAAATTCCCTTATTACTTTTATTTTAGAAACCCAGTTTATAATCGTTCTTTAACCACAAAGGCTAGAGGTTGCTGAGCACTGTCTGATGACTCCGGAAGGAGTGACTTACAACTTTGTTGTCTTCACAGGAAGTGCCCGAAAATTGGAGTTAAGAATCAGACTGTTCTGCAGGAATGTTCTACTGGATCACTGGTCTAGTCGAAGTGATTCAGCTTTTTGGTTGACACGAATATTAAAGCCCTGGCCCATGGTGAATCAAGCAAGATTACTGTATATCATCTTTGGGCCGGTGTCTCCTCATGATGGTGAGCACCTGCATTTCAGGAACATATGTTACAGAACTGGTTAATCACTTAGACTTTGGAAAGTATAGAATTTTGCACCTACTCAGTTTTCTCATTCCTAATCACTGAACAGGATTTCGTGATTTCAAAGATATATACTACATTAATTTGAGCACAACCAAAACTTCCAAGACATATTTAGTTTTGTAATAGCTCATTATTTTATTACAAAGATTTATTTTTTTATTTTTGGAAAGTCAGATATACAGAGAGGAGGAGAGATAGAGAGAGCATCTGTCTGATGATTTACGCCCTAAGTGACTGCAACGGTTGGAGCTGCGCTGATCCAAAGCCGGGAGCCAAGAGCTTCTTCCGGTCTCCCATATCAGTGCAGGGTCCCAAGGCTTTGGGCCATCCTCTTCTGCTTTCCCAGGCCACAAGCAGGGTGATGGATGGGAAGTGGGACCGCCAGGATATGAACCGGTGCCCATAAGGGATCCTGGTGCATTCAAGGCGAGGACTTTAGCCACTAGGCTACCACCAAACCCTCATTATTTTATTTTTAAAATATTTATTTTTAGGGCCCAGCAGCATGGCCTAACAGCTAAAGCCTTGAATGCGCCAGGATCCCATATGGGCTCCAGTTTTGATCCCAGCAGCTCTACTTCCCATCCAGCTCCCTGCTTGTGGCCTGGGAAAGCAGTTGAGGACGACCCAAAGCCTTGGGACCCTGCACCCATGTGGAAAACTTGGAAGAAGTTCCTGGAGCCTGGCTTCAGATTGGCACAGCACCAGCCATTGAGATCACTTGGAGAGTGCATCATCAGATGGAAGATCATCCTCTCTGTCTCTGCTCCTTTCTGTGTATCTGACTTTACAATAAAAATAAATTAAGAAAAAAAAAAAGAAAAAAAAGATATGCCTTTGTTTTGGAAAGTGAATAGTAGATTTTATTTTAGTAACACTGCATCCATTGCTCATTCTAAGTTCTGTTATGAGGTGTTACCTCTAAACTAGAAGCCTGTTCTACGTAATGAAGCTATCCTTGTTTCATTGGCTACTGCTGTTGCGTTGCATCGTATCTCTAAGAAACATTCAAATGTATACTGTTCTCAGAACCGATTTCATTATGGAAATGCAATGTATATAAGTGATAGTATTCCAGTATGTAATCCATTTCTGATTTTAAGCAATCCATGAATTTCAATCAAAGTCAACCATTCTGTCCTAGCCTAGTTTTTGTTTCAATTCAGGACAGGTGTTTTGGCAGAAAATGACAGAAGGACCTACGGATGAATCGAGTCTTAAAGGCCTGGCAGATGCCATTAAATTACTGTATGACGCAGGCACCAAGGAGTGGACAGCAGATGACGTCATCAGTCTCGTGGACGAGCTATCGGGTAAAATATAGAGACTAATATACAGTAACATCAACATATGATTACTACAGTTATAGAGTATAAGGCTATTCCTACAGGTATAAATTAAGTGTCTGAATCATTCATTGCTTTAAAATGTTTTTAAAGTTTGGCCTTATGATTGGAGAGAATACATGTTGTCAAATTTCTTTTAATTTTAAATATCATATCATTGTTATAATTGCCATGTGTTAACTAGATTTACTGTACTCGTTATTGCAAGTTTCAGAAACACCCTGCTGGGTTATGTAAGGAGAAAATCCTCTCCTGCCAGGTTAGGAAAGGTGAAGCGGTTTTTCCCATTCCTGCCTCATGCTTTAGATTGTAAAGCTAACAGAGCTTCTCTCCTTACCAGCAGCTTCGACCGTCTTGCCTGATGATGATACGTGTGTTGAACAGCTTCAACAAGGCCTTGAACACGTGTGTAGGAGCTGCCATGACCTGGCCCTAAGCTTGTCTCTGGCTAAATGCTATAATTATAATGTTAAAAATATTTTCCCCAACCAGTTCCCTTGGTACTAATTGTATTTCCAATAAAGTGTTATGATGTTACAAGTATGTAATGATGTTTACCATGGCTATCGTGCAATTTCTCATTAAATAACTGTTCTTCTTCTAATAAAAGTGGTTCCCCGTGAGTGGCTCCTAGAGAATAATGCACGACTTCTAATCTTAAGTGGAAACAACATCTGTTTCACTTTCATGGCTAGTAAAGCTGTAAACGGACGGGCCCTTGAACTGTCAAGACTTATAGTCTTTTTGGCTTTGGTAAGTAAAATGTTTTCCTCTAGCTAAATGTTTAACATCACAGTTGACCTGCCAAGGATTACCTTGAAGGGATTTAAATATATATTTTAATGTTTATCTTAAAAATATGAAAGTATATATAATAAAAAAAACATACTCTTTCTACAAATATGTATTTTATTTATTTTAAAAGGCAGAGTTACAGAAAGAGAGCGTCTCTCTATCTGCTGATTCACTCCCAGATAGCCACAATGACCAGGACTGGGTCAGGCCAAAGACAGGAGTTTCCTCTAGGTCTCCCACATGGGTGCAAGAGCCTAAGAAGTTAGGCCATATTCAGCTGCTTTCCCAGATGCATTAGCAAGGAGCTGGATTGGAAGCAGAACAGCATATAGGATGCCAGTATCACAGGTAGCAACTATACCATATGCCACATGCCACTCCTGAATTATTCTTTATATTAATTTCTTCTCCTTGTACATCTAGAGTGTCATTACATACCTCAACATACCCCTAGGGACCAGACATGTGGCCTAGCAGTTAAGAGGCCAGTTTGACATGTATTGAGTCCCAACTCTGCTTCTGACTCCAGTGTCCTGCTCATGTGCACCCTAGGGAGATATCAGGTGATAGCACAAATTGTTTGGTCCCTGGTATGCACAAGGGAGACCTGGATTGCATTCCTAACTTCTGTTTTTGAGCTGGTCCAGCCCTGGCTGTTGTGAACATTTGCTGTGTGAGCCAAGGGCTGGGAGTTCTATTTGTCTCTGCCTCTCAAATAAATTTAAATATATAAAAATATTAAATAAATATAAATATATATGTATATCTCTTTCACAATAATCGGTGTGGATGGAAATGGTAGGGAAAGGATATAAAAGTGAGTAGAGATAAAATTGAAATAAGACTGGGAAAATTGAAATTGGGAAATGGGTGTTAGGAATTCATTATACATTTTTAATAGCTTTTAATTTTGTCTTATTTTTTAAGATTTATTTATTTTTTAGTACAAAGTCAGATATACAGAGAGGAGGAGAGACAGAGAGGAAGATCTTCCGTCCGATGATTCACTCCCCAAATGAGCGCAATGGCCAGTGCTGCGCTGATCTGGAGCCAGGAGCCAGGAACCTCCTCCAGTACTCCCACACAGGTGCAGGATCCCAAAGCAATGGGCCGTCCTCGACCGCTCTCCCAGGCCACAAGCAGGGAGCTGGATAGGAAGTGGAGCTGCTGGGATCAAAACTAGAGCCCATATGGGATCCCAGCGCGTTCAAGACGAGGACCCTAGCTGCTAGGCCTATATTTTTATTTTGAATTCTGAATTATGTAGTACAATTTCTTATAGGCTAGGATTTCTCCCCACCAAACTCCCACCCCCCGAAATATTTTCCCCATTTTACTACAATAGTGTAGTCCTTCATAAGGAATCATAATTCTATTAGTCTCTTATTTAAGTGTACCCTGACATTGTTGGTACAGACAATATCAGGCAGTCCGGCATCCCATTGTCTACACATGTCCAACAGTTTCATTGGGAAGAATTCATTATACTTATTTTGCCAACTTTTTATAGTTAAAATGCTTATCAAAATTTAAAAATGGGGGCCAATGCAGTGGCTCAAAAGGCTAATCCTCCACCTGCAAATACTAGCATCTCATATGGATGCGATTTTGTGTCCCAGCTACAGTACTTCCTATCCAGCTCTGTGCTTGTGGCCTGAAAGCAATGCAGGATGGACAAAGTCTTTGGGCCCTTGCTCCCCCATGAGACTGGAAGGAGGCTCCCAGCTCCTAGCTTCAGATCATCTTAGCTCTGGCCCTTTCAACCATTTGGGGAGATCTTCTATCTGCTGATTCATTCCCCAAGTGGCTGCAACAGCCAGAACTGAGCTAATCCAAAACAAGGAGCAAGAAGCTTCTTCCAGGTTTCCCATGAAGTGCAGGGTACCAAGGCCTTGAGCTGTCCTCTATTCCTTTCCCTGGCCACAAGCAGGGATCTGGATGGGAAGTGGAGCAGCCAGGACATGAACCAGTGCCCATATGGGATCCTGGCAGATGCAAGGTGAGGACTTTAGCCACTAGGTTATCACTCCAGGCCCAAGCTGCTTATATATTTTTTTAACAGAAAACAAGAAGGAGAGAAAGAAATAAAGGTTATCCATCTTCTTGTTTACTCCCCCAAGTGCCTGCAACAACCAGGGCTGAACCATGCTGAAGCCACAAGCCAGGAACTACATCTGGGTCTCCTATGTGGGTGGCAGGAACCCAAATACTGGGATTATCATCCACTGCTTTCCCAGGTGTGTTAGCAGGAACCTGGAGCAGGAGCAGGTGTGGTCAGGACTCGAAATTCTCTCAGGGATGCAGGTGTCCCAGGTGGCAACTTAGCCCACTATACCACAACCCCTACTCCTGTGTATATCTTTTGAGAAATGTCAAGATTTCTGTAACTAAGTTCAAGAAGACAACAATAAATATATATGAGAAATCAGGGAGCAGAAGGAGCCACTGTCAGGGGAAAGTGGACAGATGAAGGTTTTTAAGGGCAGATGGGGAGTGACAACAGATTCGTCCAAGCTTACAGAGAAATGGAACCGCATAACTCTTCAGGGCCCTGAAGGCAGCTGCGTGTTATTTCTGAAGAGAGCACATGTGCAGAAGAGGCACGGGTGAGAAGAGAGAGGCTGGTGAGAGGGGAGCTCTACAGACCATCCCCTTCACAGGAGCCGCTGGTCAACTTGGTGTGTGTGGTAGGTCACCTTGGCGGCACCATGAAAAATAGTATAGAGAGAAAGTCACTGAGGGGAGAAAAGCTCTCTCTAGAAGCCTTCTCGGACTGATGACTCTGATCGTATTGTCTGAATTGCCTCCGATTTGTCCTCTCTTCCCTTCATTTACTGTTAGTGCTTGTAAGCTATTCTGTGTACTGGGTAAGCCATCTCCCAAAATAGATTGCAAGCTCATTGAAATCCATGCTATATCACTTTTTTTTTTCATTGTGCCGGGTACAATACAGTGCTTCACATGGAAAGAATAGTAAGTCTTTACTGTAAGATTATCATTATTCAATTATACCATTATGTAGTTTTTTCATGTTATATATGGTCTATTTGGCCTTGTGAGTTGCATTGGCTATTTAGAATGTTAATGTATAAACCTTTTGCATTGCAGTCAGTTTGGGCTGGGAACTGTGATCTTTACATATTTATATTCAAAGATTTATGGAGAGAGGTCTTCCACCCATTGGTTCTCTCCCAGATGACTGTAATCAGGAATCAGGAGTTTTTCAAGGTTTCTCTTGGGTAACAGGGACCCAAGTACTTGGACTCTCTTATACTGCTCTTCCCAGGCAGTCAGCGGGGGCTAGATCAGAAATAGAATAACCGGGACATGAACCAATCCCCATATGAGATGCCAGCATCATTGCAGGCAGAGGCTTTACCCACTACACAACACCAATCCCTTAATATTTATATTTAAATAATGGAGAGGCAAAGAGTCCTAAAAATCTCAGGGTGGGGATTTAATCATACTGTGGAATTCTCCTGTCCTTCGAAATAGCCTATTTGCTTATCATCCTTATCGGAGTTCTTGAAAATAGAGCTTTCCTTCATGGATTATCTTTATAACCATCATTCTTAGCAACTGCTCAACAAATGCTTTATTTGGAAAATCAATTTTGCTGAATGAGCAGAAGTAATTTTTCATTTACTCAATAACTTCTAAATATGTTTTTGCATTAATGCATAGTACTCTGTAATAATAATTAAAACAAGTCTTTATTTACTTCACACTTTTTTACTGAAATTGTATCACTTAAAAGCAATAGTAAGTAGCTGAAATGATGCCATATCAGGCTAACCCTCCACCTGTGGTGTCAGCATCCTAAATGGTTGCAGGTTTGAGCCCCAGCTGCTCCACTTCTGATTTAGCTCCCTGCTAATGGTCAGGGAAGCAGCTAAGGAGAGCCCAGAGCCTTGGGCCCCTGCATCACATAGCAGACCCGGAAGAAGCTCCTGACTCCCAGCATTAGACCAGCTCGCCTCTGCCACTGTGACCATTTGCAGGGTGAGCTAGCAGATGGAAGATATATATATATATATCTAGCTCAATCTCTCTCTAACTCTGGCATTTAAGTAAAAAGAAAAATCTTTATTAAAAAAAAGAATATTAAAGAATATTAGGTATAAGAGCATTTTCTATTAATAAACTTAGCATGGTTAAATGTATAATAAATTATGCAGAATCATAAATCATCTTTGCCAAAACAGTTTTCAAATTCTACAGCTTGCTTCACAAGGTTGACAAACATTCTTTGTGTATCTAAATCAGGTGTGTGAGAAAGAGCTCTACTGCATGGATTGGGCAGTGAAAATGATGCAAAAAGTCTGTAAAGTTTTTAATACTCCAGTGGAAAGAAATAATTTCCTGCAGAATGTAGCCGGTGCATTTGCAGGTATTATAATGGAAATGCTGCAATCAATTATGTCTGGTGAGTAGGAATGAAGATGGTGCACAGGTGTGGATAAAATGTATTCTAGTCTCCCCTTAAGTAGAGCCTGTGATGTGTGAATTTTTGTTTCTAAACTAACGATAGAAGGAGCAAACATTTCTAGCTTGTTGGTTTTTCTGTGAGGTATGTTTAGCTCCTTCCTTAGACAATATCATCATCTTGTTTTATATGTAAGAAAACAAAGGTTTAGAGAAATTACCTGACTTGGCCAAGTTCATAAAATCGAGGCCACACACCACAATGCAACATTTTTTTTTTCTGATTTCGAGCCCATTGTTCTTACGTAATCCCATGGCTTAGGAAAGGGTGTTAACAGAAAGTCTTCTGCTTTAAATTTTACTGGGGGCAATTGGAACATCTTCCAATTGTATGTTTAAATGTTGAACTGTCATTTTCTTTTCCCCTCTGTCTCTGTGTCTGGCATGTAGGAGATCATGATGAAGACAACAGAAGCTTTTTGAATTTGTTCCATCTTGTACATGCTCAGGCTAACTTCCACAAGGAGGTCCTGTATTTGACCATGGGGGCTGTGTCTACCTAAATACTCAACAAGCTTTTCCTTTAGAGAGTGTTTCTCTGAACTACCAACTAGAAGATTGGTACTTGTTCACATCCAAAGAATAGCATCCATGGGACTTACCATCTAAGTAACCTCAGAACATGGCAGAGAATCTGAGAAGTAACTGCTTGTGCTATAAAAAAATAACAGATTGACCCAAGAACATATTCAGCTTTCTCTGAACTACAAGGTTGGCCTCTGCAGCTCAGCAAACCCAACAGCAAGCCAACATGGACGTTAGCCATCCCAGCGCCTGTGTGTGCCTTTGAAGACAGAGAAAATCCTGTTTTGTAGTTGGCACTCATCCCATTCACTAACTAGCCTGTATTTGTTCATTTTGTTCAGATTGTAGAGACACTTCCCAGAATGTTTTGTTAAGAATTACAGCAGGGTATTTTTGTAATGTACCAGAATACAAATCGCATTCCTTACCACTTCCTTGGCATATGATTATGAAAGGCATTACCTTTTGTTCATTTTTTTTACATGAACAATTGGTTTTCCTTTAAAGCCCAATGAAAGTATATGTATTTGTATAAACTGCAGACGCACAACATTTACACAGTTACTTCAAACATTTTGTGGAAATATAAAATTAGAAGTTAAATTCATAGGGCTGGCATTGTGACACATGTCATGCCTGCATACCATACGGACCCCAGTTCGAATGCCAGCTGCTCCATTTCTGATCCGGGTGCCCTGCTACTGCACCAGGGAAAGCAGAGAAGATGACCAAAGTGCCTGGGCTGCTGACGTTGCAGCCGTTTGAAGAGTAAACAAACAGATGGAAGATCATTTTCTGTGTCTCCCTTTATCTGTCACTCTGCCTTTCAAATAAATAAATCTTGAAAGTTTTTTTACAGTTAAATTTTATTTTGTTTTACTTTATTTTAAATTTTATTTTGGAAACTGGACCCATGGATGGTTAAAACAGCCAATGAGAACAGGGTTCCTTTTCATTCAAGAGAACAGGTTTCAAGAAGCTTCACGAATCGGGCCCAGCACCGTGGCCTAGCATCTAAAGTCCTCCCCTTAAACGCGCCGGGATCCCATATGGGCGCCAGTTCTAATCCCGGCAGCTCCACTTCCCATCCAGCTCCCTGCTTGTGGCCTGGGACAGCAGTCAAGGATGGCCCAGAGCCTTGGGACCCTGTCTCCCACCGGGAAGAAGTTCTGGCTTCAGATCGGCATCAGCCGTTGCACTCACTTTGGGAGTGAACCATCAGACAGTTAAGATCTTCCTCTCTGTCCCTCCTCCTCTCTGTATATCTTTCTAATAAAAAAATAAATAAAAGAAAAGAAGCTTCAGGACTCCTTCTTTCTGCTTAGCATCTGCCGTGTCCACCTTCACCATTCAGATAGACACCAGCCGCATTTCGCGGGTACCCTCTCATATCGCTCTTTATGCTTGACCATTTTACTTTACTTCCACTGAGATCCACTTGGTCTTTCCCACTGGGCTTCTACAAACAGGATTTCTTTTCTTGAGCCTTTGCTATAAGTCACTCTGTGAGCTGGGAAAGGAAAGAACACCAGGTCTGAAAATTACTCACAGAAAAGGGGCAGGCACTGTGCAAAATTCATGACTAGTGTGATTCATTCTTTGTTTACAATAGATAAATCGTATCATTTTGCCACTAGTTTTTAAAAAAAAAAAAAAAAACTGATGAATTCTCCATTTGACTATTAAGATGTGTAAGATTTGTGACCAAATTTTTTTTTAAGATTTTTTATTTTTATTAGAAAGGCAGATATACAGAGAGGAGGAGAGATAGAGAGGAAGATCTTCCATCCAATGATTCACTCAAGTGACTGCTATGGCCAGAGCTGAGCCGATCCGAAACCAGGAGTCAGGAGCTTCTTCCAGGTCTCCCACACGGGTGCAGGGTCCCAAGGATCTGGGCCATCCTTGACTGCTTTCCTAGGCCACAAGCAGGGAGCTGAATGGAAAGCAGGGCCACTGGGATTAGAACTGGCATCCATATGAGATCCCAGCCCGTGCAAGGTGAGAACTTTTAGCCACTAAGCCGGGCCCGTGACCAAATTTTCAGTTGCCTCAACTCAGTAATTTTGCTGAACACATTTGTCATCTGGAATCAACTGTTGTATCAAACTTTAAGATGGGAGATTAACTTGCAAAAGCACATGATCATCATTAGTATTCATATTTAAGAGATGGTATAGACATTCATATTGCCAAATGATAATAATAATAACAATAAAATAAGCATTTGCAAAATCCATAGCCTGAAAACTCTGAGAGTGTCCATTCTAACTCTGGAGTAGTCATGATACTGTAACTATGAAAACTGCAAAATCAGATAACCTAGCCTGTGCCTTTTTCAAAACAAGGAGATTGAGCAAATTAAAAAACCTGGACTTTCTGCTCTTTTTTCCTTTTATGAAGGTTATTCCTGGGCTCAGCACGCTGGCCCAGTGGCTAAATCCTTGCCTTCGTCTGCCGGGATCCCATATGGGTGGGGAGTAGGTCTGGTGGGGGTATTGTGAGTCGCTCTGACTGGGCTGCAACTCCCACTGCTTTGCATGAAGGCCAAGTGTGCAGTAGGCAGGACTGAGCTGGACTGCAGCACCCATTGATTTGCATAGAAGATAGGGCTGGAGACAGAACTGACCCAGCAATTACAACTACCAGTGCACGCGTGAGTAGATTTGGGCGATGGAATGGGCCAGACCCTATATTGACATGCTCACAGAGGAAGCAGGTCTGGGATCACCTCTGATGAGGTGTTTTTGAATTGCTGGACTCAGAACTCCAAACATGGAGAGAACTACAGGTTCCATGGTCTGGCCGTGGAGTACGAGTGTCAGAGCTGGGCCTCCTCGGTGACTTGGACAGGGCAGTGGACTGCATGTCCATCTCATGGAGGATATGGCAGTACACTAGAGCCTGTGGAGGACATCTGGTATCATGGCAGAGGCCGGAGGACAGAACAAGTCAACTAACTATCCCATCAAATAATTGCCAGTGAGGATCCGGCACGGTAGCTGAGCGGCTAAAGTCCTCGCCTTGAACACACTGGGATCCCATATGGGCAACAGTTCTAATATCAGCGACCCCGCTTCCCATCCAGCCCCCTGTCTGTGGCCTAAGAAGGCAATCAAGGATGGTCCAAAGCCTTGGGACCCTGCACCCATGTGGGGGACCCAGAAGAGGCCTCTGGCTCCTGGCTTTGGATCGGCTTAGCTCGGGGGCCACTTGGGGAGTGAATCAACAGCAGATGGAAAATCTTCCTCTCTGTCTCTCCTCCTTTCTGTCTCTCCTCCTGTGTATCTGCCTCTCTAATAAAAATAAATAAATCTTTTTTAAAAAAAGCAAACAAACAAACAAAAAAAGATTTGGCAGTGAATACCCGGGCAAATGGAGATTCTAGGGTAAACTGTGTCAGCCAGTGGATACTGGAGATTTCAACGTGATAAGAGTGGCAAGATCAGCAGCAATTCAGAACTGTTGAATTATCAAAACCACTCAAGCAGGACCCTCAGAGCTTGCCCCACATCAGGGACCCAGGGATGGTCAGGAGACTGAGTGTGGCTTCTCCCCTTGTCTGTCCTCCCCCCAGATACAGTAATGAAAAGGGAGAATGTGGAAACAATGGTGTCACCCGCTTTCCTCTGGCCCTTGGCCCTTTGCACCCTAATCAAATATGTAAAAATTATCAAAAACAAAATAAATATATTTTTTTAAAAAGTTATGCTAAGGGGTGGCTAGCATTGTGACATAGCAGGTAAAGCTGACATCTGTGTCATTAATACCCCATATGAGCACCAGTTTGAGTCCCAGCTGCTACACTTCCAATCTAGCTCCCTGTTGATGGCCTGGGAAAGCAGCAAAGGATGGCTCAAGTCCCTGGCCCCTAAACCCAGGTAGGAGACCTGAAAGAAACTCCTGGCTTCAGCCTGGCCCAGCCCCAGCCATTTGGGGAGTGAACCAGCAGATGGAAGATGGATCTCTCTGTCTTTCCTTCTCTCTGTGTAACGTTGCCTTTCAAATAAAGCAGTAAAGAGGGGTTGGTGCCCTCTCAACCCTGAACTGCAGCACGGATGCATTTGTAATGCAAAACCACAAACCTAGAAGGGTTCATGGGGACTGAGCTAATGCAGAACTAGCTTAGAGATGAAGCAATTTCTAACTTTGAAGCCTTTGTTATACCAGGTAAAACGCATTTTTCTTTTAGTCATGCTGGAACAGCCCTGTCACGGGTTCAAGCATTCCTGCCAGCAGGATGCAATTTTCTCAGCAGGTTACCGTCTCCCAGGTGGGGTGCTTATCTCACCTAAGATGGGGCCCAGTTAAACAGACTCTCGTGTCAGGCCTGTTATTTGACTTTACACCTTTGCCAATATTACTGCTGAACGACCATCTTTTTACTTAATTATCTCTCATTATTAAGCCCTTGATTGTAATGTTACTCAAAAATGTTTTCTCAGGACTGGCATGGTGGCACAGCACACTGACCCTCCCCCTTCGGCACTGGTATCCCTGTTGGGTGCTGTTTCATACCCCAGCTGCTTCACTTCCACTCCAGGTCCCTGCTAATAGCCTGGGAAAGCAGAGGAAGATAGCCCAAGTCTATGGGCCCCTGCACCCATATAGGAGATCTGGACTGAACCATCAGGCTCCCAGCTTCAGACTGGCCAGCTCTGGTCATTTGGACAGCAAATCAGCAGATGAAAGGTCTCTTTCTGTCAATCACTCTCTCTGTAACTCTGATTTCAAGTAAAATCAAATAAATCTTTAAAAATAAATGTAGGGGCCAGGCGCGGTAGCCTAACAGCTAAAGTCCTCACCATGTAATCACTGGGATCTTATATGGGCGCCAGTTCTAATCCCAGCAGCCCTGCTTCCCATCCAGCTCCCTGCTTGTGTCGTAGGAAAGCAGTTAAGATTAGCCCAAAGCCTTGGAACCATGTACACGTGTGGGAGAGCCAAAAGAGGTTCCAGTCTCTTGGCTTCGGATCAGTGTGGCTCCGGCCATTGTGGCAATTTGGGGAATTCATCATCAGACGGAAGATCTTCCTCTCTGTGTCCCTTCTTCTCTGTTTATCTAACTTTCCAATAAAAATAAAATTTTAAATAAATAAATAAATTTAAAGCCCAGTGTGGAACCTAGAGGCTAAAGTTTTCATCTTGTATGCACCAAGATCCCATATGGGCACTGGTTCCTGTCCCAGCTGCTCCACTTCCCATCCAGCTCCCTGCCTGTGGCCTGGGAAAGCAGTCAAGGACGGCCCAAAGCCTTGGGACCCTGCACCTGTGTGGGAGACCGAAGAAGCTCCTGGCTCCTGGCTTCAGATCAGATCAGTTCTGACCATTGTGGCCACTTAGGGAGTAAAACAGCAGACAGAAGATCTTTCTCTGTCTCTCCACAACAATTAAACATAACACTATTACTAAAAACTGTGATGTCATTCTTCTCAATATTTATTTTTATGCTAGAAAGTAAAAATAAAACATGGGATAGTTATGATAGATTTTGAAAGGCATAAATACCAAAGATTTGGAGGCAAATTTCATTCTGAACCTAAAATAAATGGATTTTTTTCAA